TGAGTTCAATCCCTGCCTTCGGGTACGCGTGGTACCCACGTACGGGCCCGCCAAATTTTTTCCGGGTAAGTTGCTAACTCGGGGACCTGAGAAGCTAGAAAACTGAAATTTTAAGGGGATGTTCCTTGTCCACGCAGGTCCTAATGAGTTCACATCTAGCCCCCGGGTATGCATGTTTCCTATTTACAAGCCCGTGAAAGTTTTTTGCGGGTAAGTTACTAACTCGGGAACCAGGAAAGCTAGGAAGTTGAAATTTTCGGATGCCTTCTGACAGGCCTAGTAGCCAGTATCAATTCTTTTAGCTAGAAGTATTTACCGGGAAAAACCGATGCCGGTAGCGACAAAAACTGCTGGGAACTACGCAAGACCCAAGCTGGAACGCACCAGGCGGGCTGGTGCGTTTATGCGTTTTTGCACTTTTCGTGCCGTAGCAAGATTGCAAGGAATCACAGTAGCTAAGCCTGTGATATACTGGCCCTCGAAGTTCGGGAAGTTAATTGTTTGTGCAGCTATGTGTCAGTTGTAGATGTCGACTTTAGTGACCCGACAAATGGAAAGTTGATGGTCCGCGAAAAAAGCCGCACTAGAAGAGTTAAATTTGGCATTCCCTGAAAGTTAAAGCCTTCAACTTTTCCCGTTCCCGAGCACGTGTTCGTACATGAGTACCGGACGGTTTTAAGGAGCTGAATATGAAATCTTTTGGTCATACATGAGTAGGGAACATTACCCTAAAGTTTCAGCTTCCTAACTTTTTTCGTTTCCGGGTTAGTAATTTTCACGCCAAAATTTTCACGTGTTCGTACATGAGCCCAGGGGTGGTCTTATGGAGCTGAGTTTGAAAACTTTTGGTCATGTATGAGTAGGGAGCATTCCTCCAAAGGAGGGAATAAGAAAAGCTAGAAAGTTCTTTGGAGGAATGCTCGCTTTGAAAACTTTTGGTCGTACATGAGTAGGGAGCATTCCTACAAAGAACCTTCTAGCTTTTCTCATTCCCGAGTTATGAATTTTCCCGCCATAATTTCCACGTGCCCGTACGTAAGCTCCGGGCAGTCCCCGGCGGCTGAATTTGAAATCTTTTTGTAATACACGGCTAGGGGACATTCCTCTGTGGTTTCAGCTTTCTAGTTTTTCTCGTTCCCGAGTGAGCAATTTCCCCGCCATAACTTTCACGTGCTCGTGAGCGGGGCCCAGACTTGCGTGAGAGTTGATATCGCGGTCCTGGGGTGGCACTTGACTGCGGAACACACTGGCAAAATTTCAGCTTCAAAGCTTGCGTGGTTGGCGAGCTGAAACACCCGGACAGACAAGCACACATACACACGCATACACTGACAGGACCGTTACAGTATGCGTTTTTTGCAGCAATGCAATGCGAAAAACGCATATTGACGAGAGGTTGTCTGTCTGTGTGTGCGCTGCGCTCTGTACCGATTTTTCATCTCGAGACCGGCAAAAACTACGGGGATGAAAGTTTGGGGACTTAATCTGCGTGCACGTACGGGCCCCTATCCCCAAAATGGGCGGTATTTCCCGCGTGGTACCCACGTAAGACCCCGCCAAAGCTTTTTACGGGTATGCTGTTAACTCGCGAACCAGAAAAGCTAGGGAGCCGAAATTTTGTGGGAATGTTCCCCGTCCAAGTAGGTACTAATAAGCTCAAATCCAACCCCCGGGTAAGCATGGTGCCCGCGTACG